GGGGGGGGGGGAGGAAAGGCAGGTGCGCGAGAGGGGTGAGGGAAGAGAAACGTCTCGACGTAGGGAAACGTCTCGATAGCGCGTAAGTTTTTTTTTTTTACGGGGGAAAAACTCGAAACAGGTGCGCCGCGCACCGTTATTTTTATGGCCTCTCCAAACTTCGCCGAGAGGAGGACGGAAGGGAAAAGAGAGGGGGGGGGGTTAGTTTTATAATTCCCCGTAATCATCGAGTGTAACGGTAGACTAAGCGTGTTGCCGGCGAAACAGCTCGTAACGTCAAGTGCTATTTCTTAATTACCTTGTAATTAAAGTGTCCCTCCGAGTGTGACGCGAAATACACGCGTTTCATCGGGCGCGCGACGGCGGCGGTGAACGAAAGGCGCAAAATAATAAAGCGGTAAAACGTACGCGCGTCAGCCTTTCCGCTTTTCCGAGGCGTCGAGACGCCCGATACGTAACGGCCGCGCATATATCATCAGGACGCGCGCGCGAAACGTCGGCTCGGCGATAATGAGAAATAAAATAAGCGCGTATCATCGCTACCCTTTTGTCGCGAAATTTCACCAGGTATCCGCTTAATGCCGCGCGTTAAAGCCGCGCAACGACATTAATGGACGTTTCGAGGGAGGAGGGGTGGGAAATCGGAGGCCTCGGTGACGAGACGAACTACTCGTTCCGGTGCCGAGTCTATCTCGTATCCGGCGAAGTGAGATTTCGTGTCGCGCCCGCGATTCTGGATATTGATCCATTAAGGCCGATGCAATTAACAACCATGGCGGAATAACGAGCGAGACGCAGGCAAGGCGTGGCAGCCGCTCGTCGGACCCTTAATGCCAATGCCAATGTCAGGGTTTTCCCGGTCAGTTACCCGCCAGCACACCCCTGCACTCGCAGCCTGGAAACTCGTCCTGGCGAGCTCCTGGTCGGGCTCGTCTTCGGCCCGCTTCTGTCGTCGTCATCGTTCGCTGATAACGTTTCCGCTCACGGTATATCGCGAGCGATCCGAGGGAGAGGGAGAAGGAGAGCAGACGGGAAGCGGTTTACCCCCGAGGTGAGCTCGGGGGTTGAAATATCGACGCATGGCAGTGACAGACCGCGAAGTTACCGACGCTGGAGCTTTTAGATCTCTGCCGCTCGCAGGGTACGAGGACACGACGTCGCAATGTCGGGCTCGATGGTGCTCGCTCGGGGAGATCGGCGATTGATAAGCGTCGTGAAAGGGGACTTCCGGTTGCAAATAAATCGGCGAGTCACTCGCCGAATAAAAGGAGAGGACGGGGCGAAAAAGCGAGTGAAAAACGCCCAACGGGTTGAGTTACGTGACCGCCACCTTCCGACAGCGTGCGCTCAGTCATTCGTTGCGGGAAGGTAGAGGAGAGGGGAAAGAGGGGGGGGGGGACGGAGAAGAATAAAATAAAACGAGCGCAACACAACCGGGCGAGCTTCCAATAACGCCGCGCAAGCATGAGCCACGCGGCTTGAAAGCATTGCGCGCCGGCCGCCTTTTGGAGCTCGGCGAATTGCGATCGACTTCAAAGGCACAGCAACCCTTTGGCAATTCGCGGGTCGCGTTTCGAAATCTTCGCATCTGGAGCGGCGAAATGCGCGTGCGACTAATGAGAGCATAAGTAACGCGACGTCGAGCCGCCGCTGCGCCACGAACGCTTTCGACCTTACCGCGCGTCTTGAAACTTTGCGATATGTAAATAAATGATCTTCCCGTTACCATTTCGTCTCACCTGTTTGCCGCCGGAAAGAAAATTGAAGGAGACTAATGAGACTCGATCGATAGGGGAAAAAATCACCAATACCGACGTATCATTTTGTTTTCGGGCTCTAAAACCTTGTTGAAGGTGGAAAATTCAAATTCACGTGCATGGGTGTAGATCAGCAATATTCTCTGTACGGAAGAAAGAATTAGCTTCCGCAGCGAAAAACTAGTCTCCCCGGATAAAAATTAAGCTGTCCATGTAGTACAACTGAAATTAATTCTTAATTAATTAATTCTTCTTGTCCCTCTATCGATTTTTTCGTTCTCACAGCTAAAATCTAAGTCTGATAATTAAATTTCAGCTGTATTATGTGGACAGCTAATTCCTTTTTCTCGTATGCTAAAATATGAGGTCTTGTGAAAATTATTACATATTTCCTTGCAAATGACTATTTTTTAAGGATTAACGTTTCTAGAAACTGGGCTCCCAAACCGACATACTCAGGTGTGTGATATTTATAGAAAATTATCAACAAAGTAAAATAAAAGCACTGAGATTATATTGTACATTTGTTACGTATTTTTGTATGTTATTTTTAATCTTACATGTTTTTTTATTACGTGGAAAAGGAACCGCTGACTTTTTTTTACAAAATAACTTAAACAAATAAGGAAAAAAGGTGGAAAACCAGTCACCAGTAGATTCAACTATATTTTGAGATATTTCACGACAAAGTTCAGGTATGTCGGTTTACAGAACCACCTGATCATAATTATTCTCGCGTGGTTCAGTGACAAGAAATGAAGAGATTAGCACAGGATTCGGAGTAATTTAAAAAGTTCCAAATCCGTGCTATAAAACAGCATTGTCAAATAAATGACTGTTGATCAGTCACTCAAAATCTTAGAAGAAAATAGCTCAACGGAAACATCAGCACAACGAAAAATCAAACGACGCTATTATTAGCAAGCTGAAAGTGTAGCGGCTGGAAGAAGTTGGAGCTAGTGTACGCAGCTAGTGGACGCAGATTGTGTTCCGTCCGGCCGAGTTCAATACGTCACAGCCGAGAAACACAGGTTTGTCAGTTTACCGTATCTACCGTCAGTTCTGCCTTTTCTGGACTCGTTCGACGGACAGATTCTCGTGAAATACGCGAAGAAACGGGACTTCCGACAGTGGACTTACCTTCTGCTTATCAAGAAGATGCATGATCTCGTCGACGTCGCCGACGACCACGGCCTGTTGTCGCAGCATCTCTTCCTCGACCGTGAGCCAGTCACGTATCTGCAACGTAAGCGAGCGAGAAAGATATTACGCCGAATGTATCATGAGAAGAAGCCATAAGAGACGCGAGAGAGAGAGAGAGAGAGAGAGAGCGGCCGATATGAAGCTCCCCTTGCTTCGGTGGTGACGTAATTTCCGACGTTAACGGTAGTTACATCGTCGACGTCGTTTCCACGTCACAGCTCGCGACAAAACCCTCCTCCCGCGCGGTCTAAATGCAGACAAGCGAAAGAAATCCCGGGGGTTGGCATATTTTTCGAGCCTTTCTCAATGCAGGTCACGCCGGCGTAGAAAATACGCGGCGCCACGAGGGGGCACGAGTACGAAAGCAATCAGAGCTCGTCGAGAGAGGTTCCTCGGGACGGGGTGTGACGTTAAACGAATAACGCATCCTCGACTTGGGAGGACCGCCCGATCGCTTCGGAAATCGATAACCCATCTTGACGGATTAATCGCGAATTAGCCGTGGCAATTAACTCCCCCGTCCCTCGGCGGACGCGCGAAACGTCTCGTCGGGAAGTGTCTCGGGGACGTTTCCGCCGGCGGTACAAATGAGATGGAAAAGAGCCGGCCGGGGGGCGGGGAGGACGCTCGGCCGGAATTGGGATATTTGCCGCCGGAAATTAGCAGGGAGTGTCCGCTCGTAAGTGGCCGACTTCGATTTACCTCCCTCGTGCGTCTCGATATCCGCCGAGGGCAGCTCAGGGCGCCCAAGGATACGCGAATGCCGAGTGTACCGCTGAGGGGGTCGAAGTTCACATCAAACTTCAGGACCGTACCTGTCGCCCGGATTCCCCGATGAATTCGTGGCCGGCCGGTCTGATTGAAAAGTTTCGCGTTTCCGGCGCATCGAACAATCGCCCGGCGGCCGTGCTCCCGAAGAAAATAGCGGTCGCTCATGTGCGAAAAGGCCCGCAATGTAATTACTCGAAATGCGCCGACATGTTGCCCGCCCGGCCGCGCTCTCAATTGCATCACGAATTTGCATTTTGCCGACCGTCATTACGACCGGCACAGTTTTTCCTTGCGAATGCCTCTATCGGCGCGTTTAATTAAATATCAAGGCGAGTTGCGTAATCGTGTTCCCCGTCGGAACTGCGAGTTGTAAAGCCAATAATACATTTAAAAGCCCGGTGAGCGAGCGGGCGCACGCGCAACGCTCCACTGCCCGCCGGAAACGCATCTCTGCCGGCGATTCCAGCGCGGCCTCGTTGCCCCCGTGATGCATCGGGGTTCTAGTTGAAATACTTCAAAAGATCGCGGCCGTCCGAATAAAAACGTTTACTGCGAACAAACATATTGCGAAAACCAAAAAAAAAAGAGAGAGAGAGAAAGAGAGAGAGAGAGAGAGAGGGAAGAAGAGAAGGTAGGGGAGTAGAGCACGCCCTGGAATTCTGTCGGCCTAACCAGCGAGCTGATCGATCGGCGACGCAACAGCCGAGCAGGCAAGAAAGCCGAACTAGCGTTCGACGAGGGTTCGCCCGAATCGCAAACGTGAAACTTTCGAGGGAGCCGATAAATCGCGGAAGAGATAAACCGTAGTGCTACAGGAAATTAAGGTCTCGCTCGGTCCGGCAACCCCACCGAGTCTACCGGCTGGTCTAAGCTCCTGGGCTCGTTCCGCCTTTCACCCACCCTTGTCCGGCCTCGGAGCGGCCTTGATTAAGTGCCTGTTGTCGAAGAATGATCATATCCCTCGCGTTTCCCGGCCCAAACGGGCCGCCTCGTCTGCCCGGGGATTTATACATTTTCATGTAACTTACTGTTCAGTCGTTTATCTCGGGAGTACAGCGCGTGAGAGGGGGGTGGGGAAGGAGGAGGGAAGGAAGCGCTCTCTCACGCTCCTCCATCTTCCCCGGGATAATCTCGCGCGATGAGGAGAGACGTCGCGCGCTACAAAGGTGTATCCCGATGGATAGACGACGACTCTTCGCGGCCATCTTGCCGGCGCGTAAATTGATTCCGAATAGGGATGAGCCACGCAAGTGCCGTTTCTCATCCGGCCGCGTGCGCGCTGTAAATACGCTCTCGAGTGTACATGCGCCGGCTTTTACGCAGTGAAATTTCCAGAAGCTGGAAGCCAACACGCGTGCGTAACGCATCTCTCGTCGCGCGATCTACATCCGCGTGCCGTACACGCGCTCGTTTCATCGACGAGGCCGTGAAATCGACGGGGGTGACGCGCGCCCCCGAAAGTTTAACGATCGGTTTTAGCAGCTGAGGAATAAAAAGGTAGAAAGAAGGAAACACGCGACAGGGCGTAGACACCTCCCTTCGGAAATCAAGCGTGTTGCGAGAGGAGAGAGCGAGAGGCAGGGAGAGAAAGAGAGATAGGTAGATAGCGTTTTTAGAGAGAGAAAGTGAGCCGCAGCAACGATCGAACTACGCTACATCGCCCGTGACGCTCTTAAGCGTGCGTTGCCAAAAATGGTTACACGTTGAGACAAAAACCCGATGTAATTACGAGGGACGCGAGTGTCGCGAGAAGAGAAAATAGCGCCTCGAAATCGGCAGATTTTCATCACATTACGCGGCACCGCGGATCATTAGGGATGCATTTGCATGCATAAAAGGCACAAGCACTAAACAAAATTCGTATCCCGTCTTCCCCGACTGCGAGAGAAAACGGCCCTACGGATCCGCCATTGCCTTTACCCCCGATAGACGAAAACGTATCCGCAAGTGAGATTACTATTAGTCCGCGGGACTTTGACGGGTCTCGCGCATCTTCCGCCCGCCGGTGAAATTCGCCCTGCAAGGAGCGATCGCGTAGTCCCCGAACGACACTAAACGCTGCGAAAAGTTGGCGCAGGTGTGCACTTTGCAGAAAGTTTCTCGATTGTCGCTCTACGACTTCCCGACGCAACAGACGCTTCATCGGACAGGCTACTTCGTCCTCGTGCCTCCGTCGTTCCTTACTCTCCTTTCAATCGAGAATCTCTCGCTATTACCGACGCTGCTCGCTGAAAAGAAAAGAAAAAACGATATTCCGCGCGGGGAATCGTTACGGGGCTCTTTCCGGGAGAGAAGAATGCGCCGGGAATTGTTCGGGGGATATTTTCCGAAAATTGCTAATGGCGAAAGCGGAAATTCCGCCCGCGGGGTGTTAATCGTTCTTCATTTCTCCGTCGCAACGCGAGGTGCTACGAGGTTGAAAAATTCCGTACGCGATATAAATCCGACGGGCGCGATTATAGTTCCGCGGGACCGATTTAAATCACTGAGAAACGCGGGGCGTATATCGCCGGCAGCGTATCGTCGTTAATCACCCCGCGTGCGAACGCGCGACGACGACGGGAAACAATGCCCCCCCCCCCGCTCTATTTCAGTATTTTACCGTAAGAATCCGCGTAAATTACACGGGGATCCGCGTGTGCTCGCATATTTTGCCCCGGAGAGGCGACCAAGAATCTAATAAGCCGAATACCGCAAAGAGAGACTCAGCCCCGAATTATTGGAGCGCCGCGGGAACGCGAGTGGGAATGCGGTGTGGGAAACCGCAGCGCTAACATTGTGCTCGAAGGAGAAGTTCCCGATGTGAAACTTGCATTCATATGCGACGAAAATTCGCGGGACGCGCTAACTTTTCCCCGTCGGGGAACTAGTGACATCTTGAGTTATCGAAAGCTGCAGCTTGTAACTCCGATTCGGATCCTCCATTCCTTCCCCCCAACCCTCCCCCTCCTCTTTTTCTCCTTTCTCTGATCGATCAAGCTGATGAAATATATCGCGGCTATGAATGTTACATCGAGTCTTCGTGTCACATAGTTTTCAAGTTTCAGGAAAAACCCGTTCTTCTTCACGATTTTTCCGCGGATTTCCTCGGTTTCTGTCTCGGAGGTGCAAAAATTCGTTCGGGAACGTTGTCACGTGTGTTCGGCTGAAACCCGCCGCATTGTATTTCTTTCCCGTGAAGAAGGCAGAAGAAACCGAAGTGTGCGCGGAAAGGTGAGGGAAAAAACGGTTCTTCTCCGAAACTTTAAAACTGTGTCTTCTATTTTTGAACTAGGTTGCATATTTTACCGTTGGAGCGAGACGAATGTATAACTTAGCGTTTAAGGGAAAAGGAGCGAAGTACCAGTGCACCTCTGGAGCAGGAAACGGGCCTCAAAACACGAGGGTTCAAAGTTCATGGTTCATAATTGCAGCATCGGTTCATCAGCACCGAAGCAATCAGAGAAAAGAAAGTAAGAGGTGGGAAAGGGAATGGAAAATCCAAATCGTTACGAGCTGCAGTTTTAGTTAATTCAAAACGTTACCAGTGCACAGTATTTCGTAGTTCGAGAGAGTAAGAGAGAGAGAGAGAGAGAGAGTTGGGGTGAAGGAAGAGAGAGAAGAAGAGAGAAGATAAGCGAATCGATGCAGCGAGTAAGCTTCACGTGCAACATCTCGTCCCTATAAACGATAAGACGCTCCAGTTCCGCTTACTCGCCTGATTGGGACAATTGCTATTTTCGCGAGCGCGCGCGCGCGCGCGCCTCAATCAATGCCGACGCGAGAGCGCAGCGCGCGTAAAACGCGGCCCACCGCCGGTCGTGAGGGCGAAATAGAATTTCATTGGCAACTTGATTCTCGTCTCGAGTCTCGTTACCTCGAGGCCTCTCATCGCTTTATGCAAACAGCACAATACTTGTCAGCGCGACAGCATAGCCGGAAATGGAAGCGGGGGGGATAGCTGTTATGGCGTCGGACTGCCTCGAGTCTGACTGTTGACTCGGCAAATAGGAAAAGCGTAGCCGGGGCCTGTGCAATGTTGACCGAGACGTTGGTAAAAGTTATACACTAAGAGAGGGACCCGTGGACGGACGTGTTCGACGTCCAGGAATCGCTTCCGTACGGTGCCCTCGTCATCGTCGCGGCGATCGCTACCGACGGGCCGCTTCGCGACTTATCATTAGAGCGAGTTGAATATTGAGATAAAATTGCGACGATATTCAAAAACGTGGGATTTAACGGGCCTATGAGAGCCGAAAGCTGGGTACACCGAGAGAGATGAAATT